GAGGGCAGGCGGCTGAAAACAAAAAGGGAGGAAGGGAAGAAGAAGAAGAAAAGAAATTAGGGCTTTCTTGGTTTTCTTTTTGTTTAAAAAAAAACCAAACCAACCCAACTTAAAACAAACCAAACCCAAAAGAAGGATCAACTAAAACAATAAACCCATCCCAACCTGAGATAAAACCAATCGCGCACGATTCGATATACATAAATTTAATTAAAATAAATTTAGAATTTAATGGAAACCTCATAGTTCGAGATTTAAACTAACCTGAAAGATACGGGGCGTTACATACAGCGAGTTCATCCCCCCCGAAGATGGGGTTTAGTTCATGCTAGAAAAAAATAAAAGAGTGGTTAGAGAAGAAATTAAGCCCATCAGAGAAGAAGACAACATAGAATGGAAGCTTTCTCAGCAGCAAAATGGTGACGCCAAGGAGAATCCACCAATGTCCTTCATCTCCTTCGATGAGAAAAGATAGGGAATGTTCCCCAAATTCGATGCCAAAATGTTTTTTTTGTTCTGGGGCTCTCTTTGGCAACTGGACACTGTTCTGCTATTTATATCGGGTTTGTAAAATTAGGGCAACACGGGGAGGCTGTACGGACACGGTAAAACTGGTGCAATTAAGTTACTGCACAGTCACCCGCTCTAAAGCATCTGAAGCGGCTTCATGCTGCAGCATAAATGCATCTCCCTGCCATCCTCTAGCAACACTTTCACAACTTTAGAAGCACTTGGCTTGCCCTCAACAAATTCTTCAATTCCTATACAAAACATCCATAATTAAGTATAATTCATTAAAAATGAGGGAATTGAGAATTCTAACAGCTCAGAGACCTAACTAAATGATTTCTTCTATTTTCCATGGTCTTTTGATAAGGACTCTCACATTTACACACCAAAATTGCCCAAATTATACCACAAAACACTCTCTTATGGAGAGTTATCATTATTGAATATGCAAACTTCATTCCTTAAATTATTTGAAAAAGAACCAGATTATAGTGGTATAAAAGTGTTTGGATGCAAGTGTTTTCCCTACTTACAAAACTCCAACAAGGATAAGTTCTCTAAAAGAACCTACCATTTGTCTTTGTTGGCTATAGTCCTATACACAAAGGATATAGATGTTTAGATCCCACCAATAATCATATCTATATCTAAAGACATGTTATCTTTGATGAAATTATTTCTCCCTTTGATAGAAATACTAACAATACACAAGAGGATCCCCAAACTCTTGCAATTACTGAATTTTTCAGGTATGGAGGAATTGAGTCAAAGATAAAAAGAACATTTGTAAGAAGATCAGCACAAGTAGGACAGAACCTAGCAGCAACCATTGTGCCCCCATAAGCATGAATTTATTGAAAACATGCTTGATTATTCTATTCGGGAAGGAAAGAATGAGCTAAATGAAGAAAAAAGTATGCATTCTTCTATTGAAGAAAAGCAAAACTCAGAAACACAACCAGCAACAAGGAGACAATTAACCTTGATTTTAAACTTGTAGGTAAATCCCATCAAATAGCCAATTATGGAGACAATTCCAATAATTTCAATGGTCATCGGGAGATAAACAAGGAGAATGCATCTACACTTGCTCACTCTAATCACATGATAACTAGGAGCAATCTAGCACGAAATAACTTCTATAGTGTTAGCAGGTAATGCTCCAGCAACGACCATGTTCTTCACCATGTTAGTYAAATTGGAAATTTGGGTAGTAATTGATGTCAGTACATCATTCTCATGTATTCTTTTCAAGTTCTTTCCAGATGAAGCTCTTGAATCTGACCATTGATGATTGTTGGAAGAAATTCTTTCAAGAATATCAAATGCCTCATTATATGATTTATCTAACAAAGCCCCATTTCCCTATGCATCTACTACCAATCTTCTAGCCTCATTAAGTCCATTACAAAAAGTTTCAATCTTAATGCACCTAAGCAAGCCATGTTGTGGGCATTTTCGCAATAGCTCTTTAAATCTTTCCCATGATTCACTCATTGTCTCCCAAGCTTTAAGTTGGAAATTATTAATTTCACTCTTGAACTTTGCATTTTTGCTGGGAAGGAAATACTTCATAAAAAATTTCCCAGCTAAGTCATCTCATGATGTAATGGATTCAGCGAGCAATGAATTTAACCAATTTTGAGCGCCATCCCTCAACGAAAAGGGAAATAACTTCAGCCACAACGCTTCCTTGGATACACTTTGGATGTTAAATGAATCACTCACCTTCATGAAGTACCTTAAATGGAGATGAGGGTCATCAAAAGCATGTCCGTAAAATTTCCCCACAGTTTGGAGCATTTGGAACATTACTGGTTTCAACTCAAATGTCTCTGCTTCAATTTTTGGTTTTTCTATAACTGGGTTGAAGCCATAGGATTCTAGAGCGACATACGCTCTTATAGCTCTCTCTGTGTCGTCAGCCAACAGAATTGCATTTAAAGGAGGAACTGCTGCTATCCCAACAACTTCGTCCTCATTATTTCTTTCAACTTCTGATTGGAAACCACAGAGTTAGGATTTCTTGGATGTTGATACATAGGGCCAAACTTCTACTTGCTGTCTACATTGTACTCTTCTTCTGCGATGAAGAATGCGCTCTATCTCATTGTCAAGTAGATATTCCAATCCTCGTAGATCGTGCATTCACCTTAAAGATTCACCAAATAGTAGTTAAAAGAAATCTTTCTAGCACAGATTTTCTCGAGTAAAAATATGAAGTGTAAAGTAAACTCAATCCCGGGCAACAGTGCCAAAAACTTGTTGAACAATTTATGTTTCCTTTGTGCAAGTGTATACAACCGTTGTAGCAAGTGATAAAAAGATCGTATCCATAGAGATTGATAACTAAACACTTCAACAATTACTTAATACAATTAAACAAATTAACAATAATGTTTTGGATAAGAAAAACTAAAGGAACTCAAACAAAATAGTGCATACATGATTTGCTGAGTAAAAACAAGGCAAAACCAAGCATAACCAAATCGATTAAAGAAAAGTGTGAAAATAAGAGGTTAACTACTGTATTTAAAAGGGTAAGAGGGAAGAGTTTATGAGACTTTTTTTGGATTCACGTAAACAATGCTACAGCATTAATGATGTTGATATACTGGCCAAACAGACATGGAATCTTCCCAGACTTCCCAGATTTTCTGCAATTTAAGTTTTAGAACAAAACAAAACAGCATATCAGCACAGTTTATAGTCTTACTAGGTGAGCCTTATTCCTAAGTACCCACGTTCTAAATTCAAGTAGATCTAGCACGAGTTTATGCCAAACACTTCTTATTCCAATTTTCCAAAAGCTAATAAAGAGGTACTCCAATATGTTGGCCAAGCACATTGAAAATCAAACTTTAAAAACAACTTCAACTCAGTATATATATCATCGATATAGCTTTACATATTAAAAGCTAATTACCTAAAGTAATGAAAACTATATTTACTAACTTTGATTGCCCATCTACAACTAAGGAAGCATACGAATGGTACATGCTTTGAAGCATCACATCTAAAAGGCTCTAAGGCTTCTAGTGTAACAATTCATGATATTGTGCTACCTAAAACATTTGGTAGAAAAAATGGTAAAGTCAGACATAATGAGAGTTTAAATTGAAGCCAAAATACCTAACTCCCTTATTTAGCTTCAATAGATCCAAACATCCTTCAAGCTTACATCCTGAATGGCAACCCTGTAATCGGATCATGACATAGTAAACTAGACGAATTAAAAGTATCCAACTAAAAACTGGTACATGATCCGAACTGCACGAACAAAACAACTCCTAATTTAAAGTCAAGACATTTAAAATCCTTCGTACCCTGTATCATTAACAAGAAGTTCAATCCAAAAAAATCTTAGAAAAAAGTTCTTCAAGGTAAGAATTCCTAACTATGTCACTAACATATAAATTTGCTTGGTATTTCTTCGGTGGCAATCAATTAGTATAAAATTTACAAAATAATAATTGCCATAAACATGCCAATATATATAATTCAAACCAAAAAACAATTGATGCTTATCCTTGATTTAATGAAGTGTGGGTGTGGCGTGACTTGTCTTGCATAGAGACAGAGATATGTGAGATAGGCCACCATCTACTATGACTAAACTGCAACACAAATTTAATCAAGGTAGAACAAACGAAAACTACAACAAGATATGGGAAAGAGATGATTAACTTTTATTCCATCAGAAGGTTTTCCACTGTCTCCATCACTAAGTATAGGGAGGAAAAAATTCTAAGTAAATTTCTATACCCCACGCATTCACCTAATTACCCAAAACCCAAAATACTACACCAACCCACACATATCCCTAGTCTCCTCTCTTCCCTTCCTTCCACCATGACCATCTGTGAAGTGTGTACCAATTGTGTTCTCTCTCTCTCTGTACCTTTTTCTATTTTTTTGTTTTAGATCAGTGTTTAATGGCCTCTCTCCTATGAAAAATCATCAACAAGATGTCACAAGACTATAATTGATTTTCTCTCTCTTTCCCCCAAATACAACTCCAACTCCCAAACTCCTTCAAGAGTTGGGGCAAAATCAAAATTGACAGTTCAATTGTAATCCACATAGAACATAGAACGAGACTGTTTCGAAAGAGAGAGAGGTTGGCGAGATCGTTTCTAACAAATAACCATTCAATTTCAATTCTAAACCATATGAATTCAATACATTTCAAGGAAAAAAAACCATTGAGTTAGAAAGTACCTCAAAATCGGAAAGGAGGAGGCTAGCGACGGCCGGTGGTACTTGGTTTAGAGGTTCGATTTGGTTGGGGAGGAGGCGGGGTGGGCACGGCGGTGACACTGCTTCGAACGAGAGAGATGAAGAGAGTTGGAATCGGGGAGGAGAAAAGGAATTAGGAATTTTAAAATCTCATCCCCCGACACTGTTTTAAAAATAGTGGGGAGAGATGTAGTTTAGTTATTATATAAAAAATTAATTAATTAAATTAACAACCTCTAGGTTAGTTATTATTTTTTTAAAAAAAAAATAACAAACTTTAGTTTAGTTATTATTTTTAAAAATTAATTTAACAACCTTTAATTTAGTTATCATTTTAAAAAAAATTAAAAACTTTTTCTCACCAAAACATAATTTATCCCGACTAAAGCTACAAATAGTCAAGAACATTTTTAATGTTTTTTTAAATAATTTATTTCCCGACTCTTATTTATTCTGTCTGGAGAAGTCCCACTATTGCTCAAAATAGTTGGGAGTTGTAATATTTAAAAAAAAAAAGTTAAAAACAATATTGTCCGACAATTTATAATATAATTAAGTAAAGTCTACTTTTCTCAACTCTTATTAAAAAACGTCGGGCATATTAACTTCTCGCTACTATTTATAAAAATAGTCGTGAGTTGTAATATTTAAAAACAATATTGTCTCACTGTATATTACAATAATAGGGATGACAAAGGGAGCCCCTTGGTTCATATCATCCTCTCGCTCTTCAAAAGAATTTGTCCTCAAATTGAATTTGTCACCTACATCAAAAGAAGACAAATCAAAAACATTAAAGGTAGCACTCACCTCATACCAATCTGGCAAAGCAATCGTATAAGCATTATCATTGATACGTTCAAGGACTTGAAAATGATTATTTCCCCATTGTAGCAACTTAGACCTATGTTGAGTTGGAAATTTTTCCTTTCGGAAATGTACCCAAACCCAATCCCCTGGTTGGAAACTATGAGCTTGCGTCCTTTGTTTATGCGGGAAACAACCTTAGTGTTTTGCTTCTCAATCCTTTCCTTAACTTCTTTATGTAGCTTATGAATAGGATCAACCTTTTTGCTAGCATCAAAACTTACAAATTCATTAGGAGGCATAGGCAACAAATCCAGTGGAGTGATAAGATTAAAGCCATATACAATTTCAAACGGACTGTATTTGGTAGTGCTATGGATAGTCCTATTATATGCACCTCAATCAATGGCAAACAATCCTCCTATTTTTAAGCATTTTATCTATGATTGCCCAAAGAATGGTAATCATTGTCCTATTTACTACCTCATTTTGACCATCACTTTGAGGATGACAGGTAGTGAAGTAAACAAGTTTGGTTCCACACTTCCCCATAACACACTTAAAAAATGAATTCAAAATTTGACATCTCGATCACTAACAATAGTTCTAGGAATGCCATGCAAATGAACAACTTCCCTAAAGGACAAATCAACAATCAATTTAGCATCACGAGTTTTATTGCATGATATGAAATATGTCATCTTGCTAAACCTAATCAACCACTACAAATATACTATCCCTACCCTTCCAAGTTCGTGGTAGACCAAGGACAAAATCAATAGAGATATCAATGTCTGCTCATGGACGACAACGTCGTGAGAACCACTATAGTGAAGATCCATATGCAAAGGAATTGGTTGGGACTCGTAAATTCGTAAATTACCTCTCTGAATTGTGTCATGAGATGAAAATGAGATATGTAGCCATGAAAAGGAATGTCACAAAATCCGTTCAAAAAGAGGAAGTTATCCTATGCCTCAAGAGGATAACCAACCAATTCAACACGAGGAATATCATCTGACACCCCACGTGGAAGTTTCCAATTGTGAGGTCATTACACATGATGTGGAGACTAGCAAAGAAAGTGTGGAAATCTCTATTCATCCATGTCAATTAGAGACAAAAAGTTACAAAAGTGAGGCATGTGAGACAAACTTAATAGAGGATCATATGGAGATTAATGTGGAAGATGTTTGCCCTAACTCATGGTTTGTAAATATAAAACAAATATTTATTCAATAAAGTTGTTATTGAAGTTCCTTTTAGAATTGCACTAACCAAAATCCATTAAACTAACATATGAGGTTATGTCATGTAACTGGAACAGTATATAACTGATATAAAGTATATAATTGATATATAGGGTATATATTTAATATATAGCATATATTTGATATACATGTGGATAATATTTCAGTAATAACCTAAATGGCCTATAGTATATGTGTAAGGTTGGGTACTTTATCCTAGTAATACTATGGATACGACCCACTTTGTAAGAGTTACAAACGACTTAATCCAAATCGTTCATGTGGAGACATGCGAGTGGTGGTATCCTCTACAATGAATTTGTATAAAATCGGACTGCGAAATAATTAATCTTTAGCTGTAACATCATTAACTAATAGATTATTATTTCATAGGAAGACCAGGTAACTCAATTTCAATCCTGATTGAGTTATGGACTCATGTCTATAAGGGATCGTTCTTTGATTTGTATAAGTGAGAGTGGTCCGGGTCACCGACTTAATATTCCTACCATTTTAGGGACGTGACCGAGTGGAGAGCTAGGAACATAACTATATAAGATAGAATTCACTTCTTCTCGACTTTAGGGTAAGTAGATGAGTGTTCTTTTTAAGTGCTGACTCTGGGACTTAAACAAGTGGCCCCACCCTCTCACAGGCATGAGAGGGACTTATGTTTAATGGTTAGATCATAAACAAGTTGTTCATTAGAGGATCAGTGGTACTTAAGAAGAAAATAAGTAACTCATGGGTAAAACGATAATTTGACCCAGCTGAAGTTACAAAGACTCGTGAAAGATTGACTTGTTGTTAATGTTCAATATCCATGGATGCAACATGTTCTACCGTGTATAAGAGTGTGGCTATGCGTCTTTAGTGTAATGCCCCATAGTTAACAAATTTTGATTAATTTAATTAATTAATCTCGGATCATTGGAGCTTATAATCTATAGGTCCATTAGGTCCCCCCACTAGCTCACAACGGGTAAAACAAGAATCAAAAGTTTTTTAAAGAATTTGAATTGTTCAATTTATATGCGGGAATATACGTTAATTATATAAGACACAATTAATATAATGTGTGTGGACACATTTATAATGTATATGAATACATTATAATATAAATTTAATTTTGAATGAGATTCAAAATTAAACTTTATAATATGAGAGTTATATTTCAATAAGATTCAAATAATGATTAATATGAATTAGATTCATATTTAAAACTATAGGTTAAAATTAATATGTATAAGATTCACATTAAAACTATAGGTTATGAGACAGATATGCATATTATTCAAATAAAGCATTAATTAAATATGTGATATATAATTAAAGTTAATTAATTAATTTGATAAATTGATTAATTAATTCATTATTATTTAATTAAATTAAATCGAATTATATTTTTGATTTAACTTAATTAAATAACCCACTCCCTTGCATTTTGCAAGGAATTGGGGAGTGTGTGAGTGGGGAGGTTATTTTACTCTAACGATTTTATAAATATAAAGAACATCATGACTGATAAAATGTCAACCACTTGTTTGTGGATTAAATCTGAATTTGATCGTAAAGGTGTGAAACCAGATTATGATCTAGTTGAGTTCTGGAGGGATTATTATAAGAAATTGGGTCCTTCTTCATCTCTATAGATGCACAACTCTCTCTAATGTTAGCTCTCTCTCTCAAATCCAAACTTCCCTCACTTTCAAAAGTTGGTTTCCACAAATCGGTCATTGACAAGAAAATAGCGGGGAAGGCTTTTTGGTGGCGTTCGAGTTCGACATCGTCGTTTTTTAAGAAGTGTCTTCAAAGGTAAGTTTCTCTACTTCCATTTTTACAACGCTTATGTCTTTTCTTTCTTGTATTTTTTAAACAAAATCGAAGCACAAGCGTTCACACACATCTGCTGCAAGATTTGATCCCTTCAGAACAGAATCCAGTTATGAGAATTATTAAGGTTCGCATTGTTTTGTTTTCAAAAAGACATATACAAGAACTTGTAACCGAAATGACTTGATTTTTAATGGGCACTTAAACCAAGTGTGCTATGCTTTTCTTTTGAATTATTGCAGAAAGTAAAAAAAAATGCTTCTTGAAAAGCAAGATTCAAAGGTTGCTTCTAAAATTCACCAATACCGTTCACATGTGAAGTACAAGACAAGGGGCTACATAAAAAGCATCGTCCCAAAATCCCTTCTATCATCCATGACCAAAAATCCACGTGAAGAGGAATCCAATAAGAGTTTTATTGGGCAATGCACAAGATTTCAAATTTGCTTTACAATGAGTTCCTTTAGATTCAATAACGAATCCTTTTTAAGAGGGGGAGAATGTTATGAATCTCCAACATAATCCAAATGAATAAAAGTAAATAGAGCATATAAGAGTATACTCTGACATAGTCAAGTCAAACACCTTCAACTCTCATCCAAATAAGTCAAAATTTGTCGAAATTGTGTCAAAATCCATCCGTCATTTATCAAGGACGAGATTTAATAATTTGGTTGCCTTTTATTTCTAATCTTTTCATTTACTTAAGCTTTTCAAGTTCTAGACTTTTTATTTACTTGTCTTTTCAATTCTTGTAAGTTATGAGTCTTTCCATTTAATTGAGACTTTTCATATGTTTTATATGTGGCTATATAAAGTCTCGTTAGTTCTTTGTAAATGAGAATTTAGCATTAAGATGTAACGAAATGAGCATTTTAGCCTTTCTTTTATCCAAGAGTTAATGTATTTTGTCATCTTGTGATAACTTTCATGTTTAGGATAATTCAAGTGAGACTTGATCTATCTTGCTTGTGGAGTGATTCAGATCTCAAATAAGGAACGAGTTTTCTTGCCTTGAGATACTTAATCAACAAGTTAATCTTGTTTTTAATTTCGTTGGGTTGGTTCCATTATCGTTTTTGGGTTTTTGAGTATGTGATCTTAAGGACTTGTTTGTCAACAAGGTCGAGGGTTTCTTAACACTCTTAGGTATCGTTTACTTAACAAGAAATCGTAACGATAAGGAATCGAAAATTAAAATTAATCAAAATGAAAATGTTATTATTATTTTTTTCTTTTTTTTTT